ACCCCAGGACTCAAGTGCTGATTAAACCCCTCAGTTAAATCAAAGCATAGCAGCTTGGTCTTCCTGAGGGAAACAACTCTTCCTGAATGTTAGTCTGCTTCCTTTCTTCAAGAACATCCAACAGGGCATGTGATCAGAAAATGCCAAATGCCAAATAGCATGAATAACTGAAGCTATTTTTCATCTATTATCCACATTTTCCACTTTCCTGGCCCCTTATCACATTGTCTATTATACAACACTGAAAAAGGAAGATGGCAAAGTAACTCCTTTCAGAACAGAGAAATTAACCCTGTCATGTAGCATGTAGTCAGAACTTAAGGCAGATGCTGCTACTCTCACCTTGGTAGGTTTTGTTTTCCCTCTCATTCTTCACTAGCTTTTTGATGTCTCCCGTGGATCTCATACCTACCTCTGTAAGTGTCCCTTTTACATTCACTACATTTGTACATCCTAACTCTCCTATCTGTTCTCCCAAAGTAAGAAAAACACCTTTCTTTTCAGTTTTCCAATCTACCGCAAAGTTCCCAGGAGAAAAGCTACTGGTAGGTACTATAAAATGTTTTGTGGTAAGTATGTAAATGCATTATCGTAACACTCTACATAGAGGCCTGCATTAGAATTGGAAATGGCTGCACTCAGTCTTGGTGATGCATTCGGTGGTTCTGGCGCTTCATAGGTAAGCATCAGTTTCCTCATTTACAAAAGGGCATTACTCGGTCTACCACTGTACTCAGTTTCCCAAACAAGACAATTAGTGTAAAAAGCATTTGTTGTTATGGCTCTTCAAATGGGTTATGATCTGTCAATCAAATTTCTAAATTTCAATTTGAACAGAGGTATATTTAAATCAATATGTTTACATGCTTTTTCCTAAAAAGAAAGAAAAACCAGAAGATGTGGTTATTAAATGAAAATCTCAGTGACAGGCATGAAACGCCGCCCTGTGAGTTACTGGTCAGCAAAGTCCTAGAGCTACCCACAGCAACACAGGCTATCACCATTCCTCTTGGTTGATCGCCATAACTAGATGGTAAGACCCCTATTGCTGAAGATAATTCAGTCTCAGGACATAGAGAAATCAACCTTGATTAACAGGAAATTATCCCCCTTTTAGATAGCTTACAAAATACCAGAAGGTGCTATGCTGCCTATCGGGGGAGAAAGACAAAGATGGTCTCATCCAGTGCTAGACCCTGCATGCTACAATGCTGGCCTGCCTGGCAAAATGTGCTTGATGCATGTCCTGACAGGTACAGAAGTAACCAATCACTTTCTGGTTGGGTATGAGGCCTCCTCCACAGGGGGATTTCATGCATGGTTCTAGACATCTGGTCAGAAGCCCATGACTACTAAGGTTATAGGCCCTAAAAGCAAACTTATTATTTAAATGATCATGTTGTCTAATTGCCTTTTAAATATTTATGTTTATACCACAGATCTGTGTTGTTTTTAACTTCAGTCACAGAAGATAACTTTTATGATCAAAATTTCAATACAGATGCACCCTTGGCAGAGGATTACTGGCAGTTGGTGGCTACTAAAGAAGAGGAGTTGCTCTCCTTTGAGAATATGGCATGCTGATAGGTTGCCCCCCCACCTCCCAAGGATGGCCAACACACTGGTAAAACTAGGCAACAATAATTGAACTCAGGATGTAATTTATGACAACTACTTTTTAAAAAAGACACAGTTGGAAAGGAGTTAAGGAGTTGGGGCACTTGAAGGAGCTGGAAAGAGGTAATGATGGATGGATATGATCAAAACACATTGTATAAACATGCAACTTTCACTTTTTTTTTTTTTTAAGAAAGAAAAGCCACAAGCAGCCAGTAAGATACCAGTTGATAATATGTTCTCACCAAGTATAATGCTTACATCTTAACAAAAAAGGTCAGTGTTAACTGTGTCATGCCCTCTGATCCTAGAATTTGATGTAGGATGCCCGGGCATTTCTTACCAGGTTCTGGAAGATCTAATTTTGCCCGTTTTAGTTCTGACATAGAAACCTGAAGTTGCTCTATTACAAAATCATCCTCGAAAAAAAAGTTCTTGGCGAGAGTCTCCTGAAGAAATTCTACAAGTTCTTCCATAGACAATTTCATTAGATGTTCTAGGAAAGGATGAGAGAATGCAAATGCCAGTCAACAGTTCTATTTAGGTGGAAATATATATATATATATATATATATATATATATACACACACACACACACACACACACACACACACACACACACACACACACTCTATTTGAGTGTAGTGAGTTTTAAAAGAAAGTATTAACATGGACCCTAGACTGATAGCTGGGAAACCAGCATAGAACTAACCCAGACCCCCCCCTGAATATGGGTGTCAGTTAGAAAGCCTGAGTAACCTATGCGCCCCTGGTAGTGCATCAGTATTTATCCCTAGTATACAAATGGACTTTGGGAGCCCTTTCCACACTGAGGGATACTCTCTCAGCCTAGACACATGGGGTAAAGCCTAGGCCCAGCTCCAAATGAAATGACAAACTTTGAAGAACCCCTATGGAAGGCCTCACCCTCCCTGAGGGTGGGGATGGGATATGGAGTTGGGGGTGGGGCAGGGGAGGAGGGGAGGGAGAGGGAACTGGGATTGACATGTAAAACAAGCTTGTTTCAAATTTAAATTTATAATTTAAAAAAATTTTAAATTTATAATTTAAAAAAATTTTAAAAAGAGAGTATTAAAAGGATATACACACAACTTACATTTGGCACTGTGAGCACCATTAAAACCCAGCAGGATAGTATTTTGACATTAGAAAAAGCAGGCTGATCTTATTAGGAGGAAATACAGAAAGCTGTACCCGATCTCAAGTATTTCCTCACTAGTTTAAAAGTAACTGTGTCTGGGCATTAACACTTACCTACAACAAGAGCTCCTAGGAAGTCAATAAATGCTTATTTATCTCATTTATTGGCTGGAACTTTAACTCAGACTGACAAGTCTTCTTTAACTAACACAGTGTTACCTTACAAGTAGATGTGTTATGTTCATCTATATGTGTGGGCATCAACTCACAATAGAAGGTACACTGTCTGAGCTACTTATATTTCCTGAATTGTTCAAAAGGATGCAAATGCTCTCTCTCTCAACTATTATTACTAGTGATATTAACTGAGCAGTATGTATTATTGTTCATTTGAGTCCAATCATGTGCATTTACATTGTTTTTTATTTTTATTTTCCATTTAAAACCACTATGTGATGAATCTCTAGCAACACTAGTTTTAAGCAATCAGGAGGAAATAAAAAGAAGAGACTGTCTCTGACTAGGGTCAGTTGTTAAGGTACCCAGACATACTATTCTTCTGTTTTGTTATCTTTTTTTTTTTTTTTTTCCTAGCAAGTGACATACTGTAAAACCTTCTGGCACACTACACAGTGTTTTAATATAGTCTCAATACTGTGGAATGATTAAACCAATGTGATTATTAAATCCAATCCAATCGCACTTACTTTTGTGAGAAAATCATTTAAAATCTACTTTCTTAGTATCTTTCAGTATGTTATACATAACTACTAACTGTGCTCACTAATCCACATAGTACATCTCTAAAATTTATCCTGCCATCTAGTAAAACTTGGTAGCCTGAGAGCAACATCTCTCAGTGGCCCCTGTTCCTCAACATTTACTTCTTCAGATGGTGGTACAGGAAACTCACTGAAGATGTAAGCTTTGCTTCCTGAACAGTCTAATGATACACTGGCAAGTAAAGTAATTGCTATGCTCAGAGTTTATTTACAAAAGATAAAGAGTCATACCAAGTAAAATGATTTATGAGGGAAATGAGAGTTATAAAGAAATAGAACATTATGCTTCCATTTTTTCAGTTTAATTAAGATATACTTTAAAGCATATTTTGATCTATTTATAACATCTAACAAGAGTAATAACATAAAGAAAGAAGAGAGAAGGAGAGAAGAAGAAAGAGAAAGGGCTTTCATCCAGTAATGACACAAACGGACTCTGGGAGGGAAATGTGTTGCCAATGCTTGCTTTAGGATTGGCTCGCATGCTGGGCCATAACTACATCATTTCTGACAGCTTTCCTGGAAAAGCACAGACAGTGAGGTCTCCTCATAGGTGAAGTGTGGTTAATGTGGCACTGATGTGTTCAGTGTTCAAGTCAGTGACCAAGTAATCTCAATGAAAGCATTGAGTATGGCCAGGAACAGTAAGGATATAATCTACACACTTGACTCCACGCTCTCAACTGGTTTATGACTTAGTCAGAAGGCCAAACATCATTCAAGAATGATGTAAGAGAGTGGGGTACACACAAATATGCATGTACATAACATTGATATTCTAGCCTGCCCATGGCCCACATCTCTACAGAGATACAAGAGGAGTCACAAGGCTCAAGGTTAAAATGAAAATAATAGAAAAGCTCTCATTTCCTGAACTTTAAGGCCCAACACATCATATCCACAGAGCCCCTGAGATACTGCAACTGAAGACTAAGATGCCTTTAGTTTTTGTTTTGAAAATCTTGCTGCATTTATGCAGTGACAGGCACTTAATGAACTTGTCCCAGAGGCCATGGCAGTCAAATCCCATCCAGAGCTTGAAACTGGATGCATTTTGTTTTAGAGAAAGAAACAGTAACAGAAAATTTTTTTCCAGCCCACTCAGGTAGGAGGCCTGGTTTCTTGCTCTCTCTGCCTTATTACAAACCTGAGACTCAGGCCAACTAGAAGAACAAGGGTCACAATGGAAACCAATGCAAAAATAATATTATTAGTAACATGAAAAATCCTACTGTTTAAGTGTGAAAATGAAACTGACAAAGGAGAAAGGACCCCAGACCTTCTTATATAATATGTGTCTAGTCCCAAGAATCAGGAATTCCCTGATGATCGTCAAGAGAAATTTAAAAACTAGCAGTAGTTCTCAAAACCACTAAAAATAGCATGAGTTAGCGGGAGCCCAAGTAAAATAAGTCTTATTTTTGTAAAATGTTTCCTTACTTCCTGTGTAATTTCAAGATCGTGTAAGACATGGCAGTAAGAACTCGCTCTCCTTCAAAGATATAGATGTCCCATATCCTGAGGTTCAGTGTGAAGGGAGTCTACGACAAAGAACAAAGCAGAGCAATATACCGTTAGTGCTTCCCTTACCCTGGGCAGGCGTGTGCTTTCCTAATTGAGGTTTATAAAACGTACTTACTCGATCAAGAAAACACTGAAAAAACCATTTCATTGTATAAAAACTTGTGTAGATTTCTTGAGAATCCTGAAAAACAAAAGATCTCATAATTTCTGCATTGTAGCAAACAAAAGAACAATAGTAAGGTGGTTGTCAAAGGTAAGCACATAAACATCACATTACAAATATTTTCATACTTTCTGTTTTCCTATTCTTATTTTGAATCTCCAAATTTAACTAATAAGAATTATCACAGGGGTCGTGTCACCATCACAGGACTGTGACACAGTCATTAGTATATTTTGCAGTGAACTGCGTCATTGTGCCATTACATTTTATAGTAAAGCATGCCTGTGCTTCATCAGGAAGCTTCTTCTAATGCCTAAAATGTAAGGTAGGAATTACACATTTATACGGTTTTTATTAGTAATATTTATCAGCTTCACAGAAGCAATCTGAACCTATGAATTAGGACTATGGTAGTCTATTAATACTAAATTTTACATCCAATGTTCTTCAAACAATTGAAAATTATGACTACACAGTGAGCTAACTAGGAACAGGGAACCCAGGCTGAATTTAATTAATTAGTGCATCTTTATTCTCAGTATAGGTGGCTGTATATCAGTCACACATCTACCTACCAAGTGTTGCTTAAGTTTGGACAGAAATTTATTCAGAATTTTTTCATGATGTTCTTGAAATCTCAAGAGTTTAGGAAAACCTTGAACAAAAAAGCCTAGAACACAAACATAAAAACAGAACTTCAGAGAGAGTACCAACAAAACCCCTAACTCAAAATGTAACACATTGCATTTCTAGCCGTCAAAATAAAAAGAACCTCCCTAGTGACCAGGGTGTTTCTCTTCCCCATCATGGAAATAACTTCATATGAACTTTGGATAGTAAAACTTTTTAGCTAGTACTTGTTTGCTAACTACCACCTTTACTTTGTAGAACTGATAAAGAGGAAAACACATTTCTAAATTAGGAGGAAAACTTTTAACAGCAAAAGACAATGGAAACTGAACCCATTTATCAGCCTCCTTTTCCAGTGCTGGCTGTAACTTCACAAGCTGTCCCGTCTTGACAACCATTCTGTTCTACTGGTAATGCCTTTCACATCTTACTATATTTTTCAAGTATACACTAACAATTTTTTTTTTTTTACTGTGTCTCTAAATTTTAAAAAAATCACTTTTAAATTCTTTTCAAAAGCTATAACAACAGCTAAAACATGCAGGTACTTTAAATTATACCAAAACGTAAACGTAATAATACATTGTAATCTGTAGGATTTCTAGGAAGGAACTAATTGTAAACGGTAAATTAGTAATAATTTGCATATTTAGCTCACTGAATTTAGAACTATTTTTATTCATTAGTTCCTTTTCAGCTATTTAAACAATCCATTTCAGAGCATATGCTCAATGGATTTTATTTCTGCAATTAGTATTTTCAAACCTAGTTTTTCTAAGCACATATGGGAGATTTTAATTTGGTTTTTTCTAAAATCCCAGGGAAAGGTATGGCATACACATTCTCCTTGGGTATTCATTATTGACAATTGCTTATAAACATTAAGTTGTCTTTCAGATTTAATGAAACCTATTTTACTTTAATTTAGTCTCACATGTTTATTTGATCTGAGAGTCCATTAATTCCTCCATATAACATGTAATTTAAAAAGGAATGGTTTTCTGAACATATCAGCAAGTATAATGAAAGGTCCTAATATACTGAATTAGGAAATTTTCTAACAAAAACCCTTAACAAAATGCATATACAGTTTTGTAAATGTAACTTGGTATTGGTTAATACAACTCACAAAATTCACATTTGTGATTTCTGTGGAAGTGAAGCCAAAGCAAAAAAACAATGGATCCAGTGTGCTTCAAGGACCCAGGGACACAGCAAGGAAACACTGCACAAAGTCTGTGTTCAGTGTTGAAGAGGTGTGTACAAATTCCAAAGATTCTATTCCTCACTTAGTAATAGTTCTGTTTTGTTTACAATAAAATGATTTTATTTAAAAATCTTTCTCTCCATTGGAGCCACTTTCATGGTCAATTAGAAATGGGAGACAGAAACAGAAGGGAAAAAAAACTTATTTATTTATTTATTTTTAAGTCAATGTCCTTCAGTAAGGACCAGCTTAAACATGCGATGATTGTCTAACATTTCTTTTCAGTGACATCCTGGGCTCAGTATTTTAAATTGTTGTCTGCCCAGTTCTAGGTTGATCCCATACACTTACAAATGGTAAACTTTTACACAGAAAATACAAAAAGCAGAGGTAACCTCCAGTCACAAAACTGCACAGGTCTACAGACAAATTATGCTACAAGTACAAAGTCACCCATTAAAAACCTCCTAAACTATGCTGTAGGAACAAATGATAGGGCTTTAAAATTAACACTGTTTAAAGACTAGACAGTGGCAGCTGAAGCTAAGTCAGCACAAAAGGTTTAAAAGAAAATACAATTTTCTAAAACCAGATGGAAACATCACCACACAATTAACCTATCACCAAGCAGGAAACACTCCACTATGTTCCAGGATGGCTCAGCAACACCATCACACAGGGAGCCCAGAGAAAGACCAATGATAATGATGGGCTCTTTTTGTCAAGATCCTTTTCAGTTCTACAGTTTACTACATGATAACTTGGTACAATAGCATATCTCACTTCTGGAGTCCATTTAAGGCATTCCAAGTACCCAGAATCAGTTACCATACAGATAGCTGTTAAAATCACTATCGAGGAACATGGGGAGTAAGACAAAAGCATATACATATGAGCACCCTTCTTTAAAAGGTAGCCTGGGCAGGGTGGTGGTGGCATACACCTTTAATTCCAACACACAGGAGGTGGAGGCAGGTAGATCTCTGTGAGTTCAAGGCCAGTCTGGTTTACAAAGCTACACAGAGAAACCCTATCTCAAAAAACAAATAAGTAAATAAAAAGTTAGCCTGTCAAATTTACTATATAATAAGGCTATGGAGGACCCTAATTTTCAAATATTTAAATGAGTATTCTCTGAATAAACATAAATACTCACACAGTGAACCTAAGTGGTTTGTTCTTAGAGTAACTAATACTGTCTTTATGTAGCTGATGCTGGGCATTGATGTCAGGGCCTTGTGTATTCTAGACAGGTGCTCTATCACTGAGTGACAACCTCAGCTATTCAGTTTGTCTGAAATCTACTATTACCACATAGATGGCACTAGAAACAAAACAGCACATAATCCTGCATTATGGGAAATATCACTTTCACTCCTAAGACAAGTTGCAAAATGCAAACTCTGAAATAAAGTTTAGTGCATTTTCTTGGCAGATATAAGGAAAAAGCATTAAACTCAATCTGTTAATTTAAAAACAAAAAATTACATGTTTTGTGAAAATACTAATAACCAAGAGGTCAAAACATGTTATTAGCCTTTTTCTTAAATGGGATGAAATGTAAGGCTCAAAGAACTAAAATATGAAGCTACTTAATTATTATGTAGTCTTTCTTTAAATACCCAAATGCCCTTTCTTGATTAATATTCTTTAAAAACGCTATATATCAGAGCACCCGATGAGAAACAGCATTTCATTAGAACAGTAAGTATTTTGGCCAAAAGGTTATCTCTTATTTTTCTTAATACAAGATCTCCACACCTAAATTAATTTTTTTGACTGAGGGCAAACAAGAAAAGAATTTTAAAATGCCAGCAATACACTTTGAGGAAAAGGCAAAAAAATCTCAATGTGAATAGAAATGGTTAATAATGAAAAATCAAAGAAGAAACCAGTAATTTTTTAAAAAAAAAAAAATAACAAGGAATTAGTAATAACCAAATTAACTAAATAACTGATTTATTAAATAAGGTCTGGGATTAACATCTGCTGTACTTAATTCATCAAGAATCAGTTTGCTTTCCTCCTTGCTTGTTTATACATATATACATACACATAATATACACACACACACACACAGGCACGCACGCACACACGCACACGCGCACGTGAGGCTTTCTTACCATGCATAGCATGTTTGGGGCCCTGAGAAGAGTTTGACCAAGGCCCAGAAGGCATCTTCCTCGTTCATGTACATGAGGAGCAGGGCTGTAATCTGGCTCATGCCTTGACAGTATCCTACTTCCTACGGAGAAATGAAAACAGAGACTGGGAGCTTTAAAATCAAATCCCATGAACACATAGAAGAGAAAGGTTAATCTATAAAATACCAGAAAATGCCTAGATACATTACAGGGGAATTCTAGAGATAATCGTTGCAATATCTACAGCATCAGGGCACACACTATATAAAAATAAAACTGAGCTCAAGAGTAAACAGGTGTGGGGAAAGACTCAAGCTGCATTTAAAAAAATTGTTTTGTATGTGATACTGCACATATTCATTTTACTGAGAATATGGTTCTCAGATACTGGTAAATTGTTCCCCAAACCTCAGTTTCATGTCTTGTCACCTCTGTGACTGTTTCTGAAGCTGTACGGTTTAGTTGTAATCTACTCCTCATGGACCTCCCACAGGTGATAAACTCAGATACTGCAACAGAATCTGCCAGGAGTAATGTAGTCAGTAGGCCACCGCACCTTTCCTACCTTGCCATGCCTATTCTTTCTTACATGCTTAAAAAAAGAAAACCAAAACCCACAAAAATAGAACGAAATGAAACAGTCTGAAGGGAAAGGAAAAGTGAGGCTCACGGGCATCTTATAGTTATGTCTACATTTTCCTACTTCCAAATAAACTCTAAGGCCCTTAGGTCAACATGGGAGCTATAAAAACATCAGAGCTAACAGGGACTTGTGTAGACCAAGAAAAAAATGACCTACAAGTGCCATGTTCCTCAGAATGCAATTCAAAGAACTAGGCAGGCATGCCCCAACTTACCGTATTATAGATAGAATATGCCGCAAGAACATGGAATAAGGATTGTTGCCTAGAGAATTGAAAATTTATATTAAAATATTTTACCTAGTTTTAAAGAATTTAATTTTTAAAATCACAAACTTAAAAAGCAGTATGACTAAAAACAATCCAGACAAAATTACTTATCGAGTTTTTTGTTTTGTTTTGTTTTTCAAGCACTCTAAGTTCAAATTGAAGCAGAGTTCTCAAAAGTTTAAATTTGAGACTATATATTTATTATTTATTATATATATTACTATATATTTAGATAGAAAGATTTCATATGGAAAGTGTCACGCTTTGCTGAGTTTAAGTCCATTTCCTTCTTTCATTCAACTCTCTTACTTTGAAGACACTGGTGGAACAGCATGTGGTGGCCTCTTGAAGACTCTTCTAGCAGCAGCTAAGTGTAGGAAGTGACATCCTGGGATGTCTTCCCCTAAGAAGCTCAACAGCCCCATCCTAAGAGTAGGTGAGAGGAGGGGATGAGGGCTACACTCTCTACATTCCTAACTCACCACTGCAGTCTGCTGCTTCAGTCTTTGCTGACTCAGAGACCTCACTTAGAACAGAACTGGCCTGGTGGTGCATATCTATGATCCCAGTACCCAGGGGCTAAGGCAGGAGGGTCATGAGTTCTAAGACATTCTGCTATATAGTGAGACCCTACCTCAAAAAAAAAAAAAAAACCAAAGCAGGACAAAACAGAAAAGAGGAATGAGCCTGTAGGGAGACACAATGATTCCATCAAGCTGCAAGAGAAACCACCACCCCACTGCTTTGGGTTCCTTAATGTTACTTTTGGGCTCACGAGGCAAAGGGGTGACTACATTGGTCAGAGTGACTATAAGAGAAGTTGCTGCTACTACCTAAAGGGCACAAAGAAATCACATCTGAAATAAAGGGGATAATTTTGGAACTTCTTAGTATGTACTAAGTACATACAAAAAATATATGTGTAAAGAAAACTATAGAAAACTACAGCAGGATAATTTAGGGAGACTGCTAATGGTCCAGATGTTTCAGGACTGAAGCCCTAAGCCCTGTGATACAGCTGAGGTACTTGAGTGACTAGCAATGGAAAGTGTATTTATAAATACCATGAGACATGGCCAGCCATAGGGATGTCTGAGGTAATTACTAGCACTTTTCCCTTATACTTTGGTATGGATGTCTATATATTAGTATTTTCTTTCTCTTAACATCTTACATTAGAAGTACTAATAGGTAACTCTATACAACAGTACTTATGCATGATTACAAGCAAAGGACTTGGAATCTACTTGTTGACAAAGAGTTAATGTGTTTTCAGCTATAAGCAAAAGAGTTGTATCATGCTAGAGACATGTATGATTTGTTATGGCCTCACATGGAAATCAGAATGGTTTAAAGAAATGTGTGTGAGCAGCATGTTGACAAGGACAAGCTGCGATGGTCAACTATAACAGCAGTAAGGTTACAATTCCCTCATTATTGAAGTACTGACCTGGCTGTTGCTGTCTGTCAAGTGTTTTACAGATGTGATTAAATCCATTATCTGCTGAATTTGAGTTGGGGAAATTATAAGAGATCCAAACAGACAGAACCATGTGCTTCTAGCCTGCCCTTCCTGGTCAAGCCAATCTTAATACAGATCTCCTATAGCTTCTGCTTTACTGGTTGGATCCTAAATGATATAACGGTTGGTACAACAGTGCCTTTTCATTCATACCCTCTGACACAGTGTAGGAATGCAGTAAGGACAAATGCTCTGTCTACATCATACATTAGTTTCTCATTTAACTCATTTTCTTTCTTTTAAGTTCCATTTATTCATGAGGTCATAGAGACATAAACTTATTATAGTTTTCAAACATATAAAAGCTTTCACATCTACAAATGGCCTCAAACCTTAGCCACCCTAGTGTCCACAAAATACTTTTAAGAATTTTATAATCATAAAATAATCCCTTGCCAATTTTATAGCCTGTACTATGTCAGTGTTTTAAAATGTTAAATTAAGTTAAACCCCCGTTTCAGTCAACATGGACTCAAATGATCTGCAAAAACATTTAGGATTTAAACGAAGATTATAGTTCAAACAAAACATTCTAAAAGTACAGTTTACCTTAAAACCTTCAATAAAGACCATATTTTATACATGCTATCTACATTTCATAATATTAAACTTTACTTACTTAACACCGTATCTGTCTCTAAACATAATATGGTCCCTAAATGTGCGGTTCACGTCAAGGTCTATTTGTCTGATATCAGGTGAACAACCCCGTGCTCTGTGTTTTAATTTCTGAAGAAGAAAAAGGGGGAGAAGAAAACACATTTTTATGAAAATACTTGTTGGAAGTCTATGTTAAATAGCAAAATGATTCTCATTTAAAAAAAAAAAAAAAACAACTTATGTATGTATCAGCAGAGGGTAGGGCTAGGAAAATCATTCCCATGGTTTAAAGAAGATCTGGGCAATATAAAAAGATACAAAAAGAAAACCTTCCATCCCTCTATGCCCCCATCTACTCTGCTCATGGCCCTTTTCCTCCCTTCCTTTCTCTTCTATGGTATCAACAGTGATATTTAGGTCAGGGAATGTTTGGAGTTTGTAGGACTAAGATGACTGAGTGGCTCACTCTACAAGGAATTCTCTTTCTCTCTTGCTCAATTTTTCTTCTTTTCTTGGAATGAGTGGCTGCTTCTTGATTTGCTTCACTTTCTATATCCTTGTAGAAAAGAAATTCAAATTCAACACCAACTCTGAAACATGGTGTAGAATTCTCTAAACATCCTAGCAAACACTGACCAGTTTCTTTGCTTTGCATCTTGGCCTGGAACTTGTAGCTGGCCTGGAACTCACTACATAGACAAAGCTGACCTTGAACTCAACAGAGATCTATCTGCCTGCTACTGCCTTCCAAGCACTGGGATTAAAGACATGCACTACAAAGCCATGTCTAGAGGTCAACTTCTTAAACTTTGTCCCAAAGCAGCCAACCATGTTTCCACTTGTGTGGTTTGTCCTTGGGCTACTGCCTCTGGTCTTGGAGCTTCCTTCACCATCTACTGACACTTCCTTAGCTTTGAGCCCACATTTCCAATTCCCGGCTCTTGGTTTACAGACTACATCCTGCAACTCTGTGAATGGGCACCATAAAAGGTAAAGGTTTGGAAACCTTGAATATATGGTGACTTACTCTTCAAAGACTGTGGAAGCTGCTCAAGAATTCTAAATCAAAAGTACTTTTGCTCAAAAGGCACTGCCTTACCATTTCCTGGCTTCTTGGGCTGCCACTGGAATCCATACTCTTTACGTATCTGTTTGGAAGTTGCCCATTTCTTCCTTGCTTTGGATCTATTTTCAACCACAGACTTAGGCACTTTCACATCTCTCATGTCTACAAAACTGTCTTTAATAATTCCCTGTCAATTTCCTCTTCCTCCCCTGCCATGATCCCATCTTCTTTCTGGAGCTTGGTTATTACAATGTGAGATCTCCTAAGAATCAGCTCATTTTCTTTCTTCTCTATTAGTGCTCATATCTATGCCTTTAAATTTTATTTTTCTGAAAATTTTCAATTATTTTCAATTAAGTTTTTCATTTCTATTTTTTGTATTCTTAAGGTCTTTTGTTGTTACAGAATGCTTCTTTTTATAGCTTCCTATACTTGTTTTATGGATGCAATATCGATTTCATTTCTCTGAAGATATTAACAACAATCTTTCAGGTTTTCTTCTTAGTCTACGGTCTGTTTCTTACAAGTGTATTTTTCCACTTCTTTTTGTCTCCAATTTAAGTCCCTTTCCTCAAATGACTACTAATATCTTGTCATCTGTTTTTGCTTGAAAGTAAGGCATTAAACAAAGCTGTGTACCCAGTCGGGGCTTCACAACAGTGGGCAGTGATGTCCCTCTAGAGTGGGGTGTAACAGGGTAGTTGCAGGGCAGCCACTAGAACCCTAGGTCTTTGGGTTTATGTTCTTGCACTGGTCACATATCCGAGAATTTCTTCCCAGCTCCTGTTGGGACCACAGGCACCTGATTGCTGGTGTTCTTAGGGAAATGCTAACTGTCCAAAATTTGGGGTATTATATTGCCCTGCACAGCTAGGATAGCTGCTGCTTCACCTTCTCCCAGTAGGAGACTTCTAGGTCTAGGTCTGCGCTGGAGGAGACTTGGGACTCGCTCCAACTGCTTCTCCCACAGACTTTCAACCACTTCAGTGTTCAGCTTCACCTTTACTTCCAGAGGCACCTGTGGGTGGCAATTACCAAGTCCTCTGGAGAGTTAAGATAAAAGTCATGTGACCTCTTCAGTTTCCCACTACCAGCACAGGACTCAGCTTCCTCAGAGATGCTTTGTTTACTCTGCCTGTCTGCACTCTATGGTCCAAAGTGTGGCAGACAGTACTTCTTCCATTTTCTTATTCCTTACAGGGTTGCCTTTTTAAAGACTCTGCTATTCGCAGAAATGTTATTCATGTTTTCAAGGGTTTACAAGCTAATGAAAAAGAAGCATTGAAACAAACCCAACACCATCCTCCCCCATAGAGGTGAGCAGACTCTACAGCTACCTGAGACTGAGTGATCTATAGTCCAAAGTATCACAGTGATCCATAGAGGAATGCTTTCATTACCAGAAAGAGATCTAATGAGACTATAAGCCAAGGCAGTGGCAGAGAGCAAATAGTGAGGTGAAAGGTCAGCAGTGTCCCCTGTGGGGTTCCTCCCACTCCCCCAACCCCTGAGCCAGGCCATGCTGTGAAGGTTTTGTAACCATGGTGGATGGACCTTCTGCTATTTTAAGGTATGCTGCTAAATTCAAGAAAGACACAAACGTGATATACTTAAATGAAAACAAGAAACACTGGCTCAGAGCCAGAGCTAACTGACTGGATTTTAAAATCTGTTTCTTCTTTGCTCAACCTGGGTGAGAAGTTACCAACCCTTACTCTTACTTAGGCTCAGGTTCCTGGTCTGTTAAATGAAATGATGATGTTACAGAAAACAGTAGTAAAACCTGCCTGGTGCTCTAATGGCAAGAATTAAGTAAAATAATCCCTGTAGAGTACTCAGATAATGTCCACAAATTATCCTAACAAGGTCAACACTCCTCAAGGTGAAGTACAGAAGATGTTTCTAGAATACAGTCATATGATGTTTCAAACTAAAACCAGCCAGATCCCAGCTGGAGAGAGGGAATCAAAAAGGGCATTCCAAAGTACTTTGAAAACCCAACCCTCTATTTCTTCCCCTTCACACCTTCCAGTCCATGGAGACTTACTTCATAATTTCAACTCAGGCTTTTGTTTTGTTGTGTAAATGCCATGTACTATCCAGAATGTAAGTATCTCTTTACAGACTTGTGTCCTTTCTGAAGCGACAGTTCTCCCCAAAGCACCCGTTTGTCTTTGTGTGCTGTGTAACACCAAGCAGAACTCTGCTCTAAGAAGGGACACAGAGGTCCTCAGGTGAAGCTAAGGCTTGAATGTGTATAACATGGCAGGCTCCATCTGAAAACACCTTGGTAGATAAAGCGAGGAAGAGCCAGTTCATAAAGCTGAGCAGACAGAAACATATGCCACTTTTGTAGAGGGACAAGGAAAGAGTGGTCAGGAAAAGAAGACATTATTAAATGATGTCATGAGGGGAATTAAATGATCGTTGTAATGTTTGAAGATATCAAACTGAATTTTGAACCCGGGAGCTCTAACACTCATTTGTTTTTTGTTATTGGGTTACTAAGCCACTCTCTTATTAATGAGTCACGGGATGACTTTATATAGGAAAACACACACACACACACACACACACACACACACACACGGTTGAAGAATGTCCCTCAAAGTTCATCCAGGACCAGTACATGTGGCCTTATTTGGAAACAGAGACTCTGAAGACACCATTAAGCTCAGATGACACTGTGTGCATTACAATGACACTGAAATCCAATGCCTGGCAACCTTTTCAGGGAAGAGACACACAGACACATGTGACACATGACATGGGATACAGAAGAGCTAAGGCGTTGTAAGACAAGGACACCAACTGGCTGGGTTGAAATTGATTTTTCTTTCTTTTTTTTTCCCATGTGTTCTGTTGTGATTCATTCTATTTAAATACATTTACTGTGTATTTTTACTTTAAAATGTAGTACTTTAAAACCTATGAATCTAAGAATCTTAAATATAAAGTTCTTATTCTTTTCAAAGGTTAACATAAACTTAGGTTTAGAAACAGTATGGCTGAATGATAGATAGAGGAGGTATATTTAATCATTATGCAATTTAAGGAAAAAATCCATCACTCAGTCAAGTTTAACTTTTTAATTCATACATAATAAAATGAAGACAGCAAATTATCTTGTGAACAAATTTCCCCTCAGCCTTACTGAACATCATATGCGGGAAGGTGTTTGATAGGATTGCCTTCCCTGTAAACTCTAAACATGATGTAGATCTTCTCATTAGTAGTAAATATGCCTCAGCACTAATGGACCACTGTACTGTCAGAGTCTAATGATACTGGCTGAGACAGAGCACTTGATCTAAATCTGAGTAGACTGGCACTAACAAAACAAAACAAAACAGTACGCAGTGACAATAGAATATCACATCATCTTAAAAACAAAAAAAATTGTTTTGCATTTTAACTTCAAAGGCAATAGTTAGTTTAGCTACTCACACTATAAAGGTCTCTTGTTTCTTCTTTCATTTTAGGGATCTCAAGAAGAAGAGCCCAGACTTCACCTCGGAGCTGGAGTGGAATTCCTTTGTAAATTCGTCTATGAAACTGATTAAAAGAGAAGGAAACCAAAGAGGATTACAAACTAACAAAAGCTTAGATAGTCCCTTCCACTGACCCACTGTCAGTTTTTATTCAGTTTTTTGTCAGTTTTTATTCAGACATACATGACCATTAATTATAAACTTTAATTAGTCAATATGATTAGGTTCTGTTACTTCTATTTTTCAAAGATCCTAAAAGGGAAACATAATCACAGAAAGAAAATATATAAACTACCAAAAGAAAATAGGAAAAACAGCAGTGCCAAGAACACTTGGTAATCGGTATGCTTGACTATTACAGAAGGGTCCCTTAGAGTTGTGTGAGCAGAGCCAATGCTCTTAGGTAAACTGTGAACATCTTTCTTACACACTTCCTTATTATACGCTAGCCTTTTAGCAAATAATAGAAGGTGATCCAAATAGGAGAAAGTAGCCTTGTATCAAAAGCACCCTTGTGAGTACAGAAAGCACTGTCTAACCTGTTTCCTAACACTATCTCTCTGTAGAATACATGCAGCTCTGTCTCAGACCTTAGATAGCTCAGCTGCCCGCTTTACCCTTTGTCCCTTTTCTTAAATGGCACTAAACCTATCTGATCATACAAAACAGTTGGCAAATCTCCATCACAGAAAGACAAAGACCCCCTCCTTACTTCTTCCCCAGCTGTGCAGGGAATCAAGTTCAGGGCCTTGCACATGGTAGGCAAGTGCTCTCAACTACTAAGCTACTTCCCCAGGCCACAATTTGCTTTTCAAAAAAAATTAGACATCTAAGTAATCATTATCAACTTAGGTTCTTGAAAGATGCATTGCAATCACCCTAAGGATCTTAAGACTCAACAGACTTCCCTATGCCATAATTATGTATTTCAAATTCATTCCAAGTAATATACAAATCCATTAAGGTCATTACAATATGATACATAATAACACTTTGAAATTTAAAAATTAATGTCTAGACACAAAAAATGATTGATAAATTATGGCAAGAGCTCTTAAGGAAGGTTTGGGATTTTACTTATTTTTTTAGATTTTACAACACTTGCATATACATAATGATGTATAGAGGAGATGAAACCCAAGTCTAAGCATTAAACTCTTTTGTTTTATCCACAATTTATAAACATAGCTGGAAGGTGTATGTGTGTGTGTGTGTGTGTGCACACATGCATGTAACTTTTTTTGTTGGAGGGTGCATGGGTACATGTGTGCAAATACACATGTTATGCATGTGCACACACAGACCAAATGATAACATAGGTACTGCTTACCTTCATCTCTTGCAATGGCCTCTACTGATTGAGTACTTGCCAAGGGATTCACCTATCTATCTGTACCTCCCGCAACTGTGGCTGTGTGTGGGCATGTGCTACCATACCCAGCACCTTAAGGGAATTTTATTCAGTATCTTCAGGGTTTTGACTGTGATGTCACATAAGACCAAGTGTGGAACTGTCTACTTGTAATATCATGTAAGTGCAACAAAGTTTTGGATTGTAGAGCACATGAAGAGCTCAAGCTATATTTATCTATATTTTAACTTTATATCTAAGGGTGAAAAAAATCATGGTTAAATTTAGAGAAAAAAAGTAGAAAAACTCCAGGAAGAAATAAAAATTAAATGGTCACCAGGCCACCCCAGAGCTAAATGTTAACATGAATGAAAAAGAAATACTGACATGTTGTCACTATACTCATCCACAATACCAACTAACCCTACCTCTCACTAAGCATTTACTACATATAGAAAATTATTTATGCCGTAACTGCACATGGGAAGTAAATCATAAAGAACATCAATACTTGTCTAATGACAAGCCTACAAAGTTACCAATTATTTAAGAGAAGAAGGATCCAGTAAATAAAGAGGTCGAAGCATAAATTAGGAGGACGAGAGTTCAGATGTTCCGCCCCTATGTAAAAGCCCAGTGCAGCAATGTGTGCCTATAATCCCAGCGATGGAGAAGCAGAAAGGAGAACCCCTAGGGTTGTTGGCTAACCACTCTAGCTAAACTTTAGGCAGGGGTGGTGAGCCTGGAACAAAAATAAGGCGAGGGCTGGGGCTGTAGCTCAGTGGTGGAGTGCCTGCCTAAGTTAAATTCCTAGTATGAGTAGAACAAATGACAGCAACAACAACAACAACAAAAATGAAAACCCTTGACTTGAGGCTACCTTGACAATGGAAAGGTGGCTCTGTGGGAAAGAGGACTTTATTTTTTTATTATTTTTTAATTTAATTTATTATTTTACATGTCGATCCCAGTTCCCTCTCCCTCCCTCCTTTTTACCCTCTCTGCCCTCTCACATGCACCCTAACCACCCTCCCCTCCCATCTCCCACCCCAATTCCATATGTAGGGGAATGCATCCAGTTGGGGTCATGTAGATCTGACAGGTCATGCGAAGTAGGGACTAGGGCTTCTCTCCTGTCTCTAGGTTAAGGCAGTCATCCCTCCATGGGGGGATGTGTTCGCAAAGTCCTTTTGTGCACCAGGGATACATCCTGGTTCCATTGTCTGAGGTCCCTTAGACTGCTCAGTCCTTCTGGCTGAGACCCATAATTCAGGGGGCCTGAGTCAGTCCCATGCTGGCTTCCCAGCTATCAGTCTGGGGGCTCATTAGCTCCTCCTTGGGGAAAGAGGACTTTATATGCAAACATGAGGACCAAGGTTCAAATCTCTAGCACCCATGTAAAAAATTCTGGACATGGTTGTGTATACCTACAATGCCAGCATTGTGGTAAGGGTATGGTAACAGGCCAGCTGTTATGGTAACAGGAAGCTCACTGTTAGGCAGCCTAGCTGAAATGGTAAATTCCAGGTTCAGTGAGAGATCATGCTTAAAAGAATAAGAGAGAGGTAGAGCAAAACACCAGAGTCCTGATGTGAGCCCCCAGCACATACATGCACATACTCATGTACAACATCCCCATTACATACATGCACAAAGGTGGAGGAGACAGAGGAAGATACCTGGTGTCAACCTCTGCCCTTTCCCACAAGCATACTCACACATGTGTGTAAGCATACATACATAAATAAATATTATGGGTTTTACATTTCAAAGGTCATCCTTCCATGACCACACACACTGTTTTGTCAGCTAGTTATTGAAATATATGGAAAAGTGACAGAAAAATGTTCTAAGATTCAAGAGTAGATAACATTAAAACACAACATATCTGAACTTAAAAGGAATATAAAAGTGATTGTCTCTGGCATCCAACCAAGTATGCAAACTAAACATATAACAGAAAAATAATAAAGATGTTCTGAAAATAAGAATTTTTAATTACACTTATTGATTTTCACATACACTTTTGCCCTCCAGACTCACAGTTCTATATCTCTAGATTTAATCACAAGTCAAAATTACTCAGGAAAAAGCTGTTTTACAAATGCCTCAAATTGCTTTCTTGCCAGTGCTGTCTAGTAAATATTCACACCACATGTACACTTGGCCTGGAGAGGAAAGAAGCTGGGCACCGGTTACTCACAAACACCACACCTTTTGATATGAAAGACTAGAATGTCTGGGGACTCTGGAACCACAAGGGTCCTGGAATAACCCCTCAGATGCTGAGGGGTGACCATGCTTGACCACTTTATGACTGACTTGCTATGGCTGCACGTTTCCTTTCATCTTATCAATTATCATTGAAGTTTTAGAAATTTTGTAAAACATTAGGTTCATAAAAGTACAGTTTACTGACCAGCCCACAGTGCAGTTTCCATCTGTTGATCAGCATAGCTTTACTATCTATTTCTATGACAACCCTGTGATGCCTGTGATGTAAGCATACATCTCACACCTTCAAGGAAACAAACAAAGCCCCATCCCAGGAGGCAGGCTGCCACTGTGCGAACACAGTCAACACCACCCTCACAGAAGCTTTCATGAAAGCTCAGCTCTAAAACTCCAAATATTCTTCGCTAGAGCCATGTTTGTATTTCAAGACACTGAGTCCTCTGCATTATTACTATGTAAGCAGGGACTCTGAAAACATTCCTCCCTCCCTTTGGAAGACACAAAAATACAAGGTTACCTTTTTACATCAGTGTAATTTAAAACAAGGTAAGAATTGAAGGTGGTAATTCTTTTAGAAGGTACACTCTGTTTCACATCAAATTGGACCACATATATCATCAAATGATTCTACACTATAGTTAGGGGAGAGTGCTTTAAAATTATACATCAAAGAAATAGTTCTGCTAAAACCCCTCTTAATGGGAGCTGCATTAGCTGGAGTTGCTGTCACAGTAATAGCCTCACAGAAGTACTCATTTATACAGAGACTTCCTTACTTCCAACAGATACATGTATACCAGAGAAGAATAAAGCCATATAATTCTACAGATACTTTATTAGACTGAATGTGAAACCAAAGTATAGGTGCAATGCTTCGAAATTCATCCTGTCATCATCGCTTGAGCAATCTTTCCACCAAGGAAAAGGAGCTGTCAGCTGCAAGCTGATGTGAGGGTGCTGTGCTATTAAACAAGAGCACAGAGATGCACCTAATTTCCCACTTTGAAGTGATTCCTTTTAAAGATATCTTGAGTTCTAAACCCAGTGCTAAAACAAAGACTCAACAACATAAAACAAACTCACTTCAGTATAAAATAAAATAGTAAGAATTTAACTTTAAAATAAAGTTATTAGCTCTGTGAGATACCCCATAAACAAGAGATCTCCACAGTGAATAAGTTTCCTATAATGGCACGTCACAGTCCACATTAACAACTGTAGAGTCCTATAATACAGAAACCTTACCTAACCCTGAAACAGCCTCTCCTGGGCTAACAAGCAGCACTTCCTATGCTGTACTAAGGTAGCTTAATTAATCCTTGTAACAGCTCTAAAAGCGGGCCCCTTGTCCAGGTAACCTTGCTGGAACAGAAAATGGTTAAATATCTTCCCCAAGATCATACAGTTTATAAATGTCAAGCTGGAGTTTAAACCAAAATTATTATGTCTAGCTTTATCTTAACCTGTAGCTGTTTCTACCTCAGACCTATTAAAACCCAGGGAACTGATGCTCAATATTCTTGTTATGTTGACATACAAATTTTTATTTATACGTGTGTGTGTGTATACATATACATACACATATACATATACATACACATACATACATACATGAAAAGTATAAAGAAATACAAGCCAGTGAGATGGCTCAGCAGGTAAAGATGCTGTAGCCAAGCTTGAAAAAAAAAAAAAAAACTACAAAATCCAGAGCCCACACATGGCAGAAGAAAACTGACTTCAGAAAGTTGTCCTCTGACCTCCAAAACACACACACACACACACACACACACACACACACACACACACACACACACACACACGTAGTTTAAAAAATTTAAAGAGTATGGAAATAGAAGGGGAAAGACTGTAAATTAGTTTAGCTGTGTTTGCTATAGGGTGTCCTCCCCTTTAAAAACTGTGCACAAGTAGCTAGCATTTACTGGGTGCAGTCTGTAGGCCAGGCTGATGCTAGTTTTCCTGTGTTAGCCCATCAGACCCCCATCCTTTTTTAAAATGAGCACTATTACACTGCAGAGGAACTGCAGTGAGCTATCAGGGGTTTGCAAGCACCAGACCAAAACCATTTTCAAAATATGAACACAATGTCTCTTTCCATTTTCACTAAGACCTTTGTACTGATGGGAGAAAGTGGTGGTAATAAAGGTACTATCACTAGGCACAAACCAAAACAACAACATATAATCTGAAATACCGGAAGGTCAGTTTCATGTAAGACTGTTCCAGATACAGCACAGAAAGTACCAAATGAGGTCCCTTAGACTGCTCAGTCCTTCTGAGACCCATTTCCAAGTCAGTCCCACGCTGGATTCCCAGCTATTAGTTGTGTGTGTGTGGGGGGGGGGCGCGGGGGGTTAGCTCTTCCTTGTTCAGGTCAGCTGTCTCCATGTGTTTCTGCAACCTGGTTTTGTTCTTTCTTTCTGCATCTGGATTCTAGTTCAACTCAGTGTTTAGTTAAGTGGAACCAGGATATATTCCTGGTATACAAAAGGACCTTGCGGACACATCCCCCATGGAGGGATACTCCCTTAACCTAAAGACAGGAGAGAAGTCCTAGTCCCTACTTCAAATGACCTGACAGATTTACATGACCCCACCTGGATGGCACAGCCCTACATGTGGAAAGGGGGGTCAGGGTGCATGTGAGCAGGGAGAGGGTAAGAGGGAGGAAGGGAAGGAGGGAGGGAGAGGGAACTGGGACCGACACGTAAAATAAAATAATAAAAAAATAAATAAAAATAAATAAATAAAAAAGAAAGAAAGTACCAACTGAATTAACTCTTAAATTCTGGGCACAGGTTGCAGTGGTATGCTGACTGATGAACCTGGAAGTCCTTCTGGAGCTTGTACCACTCAGATATGATGGTTACCTCAGAAAAAGTACTTCTGAAGATGTTTGAATGACAATTTGCACCACAGAATGCCATCATACTTGAAAGAACAGCTAACTTACCAAAGTTCTATGGCTGTTTGGAGTCTGGGCCATATTTGGCAGGCATTTTCTCACAACAAATATACTGAGGCTCAGACTTGGAGGGAAACCGTTGGTACTGTGCTGTACTGATGACATTCGGTCTTTCAAGCAAAACTTTGAAAACCATGTTATAGTACTCCTATGGCAGTCTGAGGACTACTTTATTTATATGGGTTTTGGGGATCAAACTGTAGTCATCAGGCCTGCACAAGCTTCTTTATTTGCTGAGCTATCTCAGCAGCCAAGGACTGGGAGTGATCTTAAGGGACTTGAGTTTAAAACAGCACAAACTCAAGGCAGAGCAGTGTGAGGATTTCTAGAAGCTATTGGGAAGGACATTGCTCCTGTTTCCAGAAAAGTCTTCAGAGGCCATCTCCTTCTTTTCCTGAGCAATGTGATATGGACATGAAGCCTGGAACTACAGCAATGATTCTGACCCCAAAGGGAAGCTAGAGTGGAGGCGGAAAAAACTGAGGCACAGCAACCGAGCAGTTAAACCCAATTACACTTGACGTCTGGACATCCAGCACAGCTCTGACTGCTGGAACCACTCTGACCTGAGGATTCGGTTATTTCCAACGTGAAGATTCATTTAAAAAAAAAAAAGCATTCTGCTTCATTAAACTAAAATTTCAAAAGTGAGTATGAATGTAAACATTGGAATAACTGAAAGAAAGCAGTTATTGCGAAAATCCACAATGAATTTGAACAGCTTCAAAGGGAAATAACATTATTTTAGGTTACCTTCTCAGTGTTCTTGTATTTTTCCCATCCTTTCAGCATTTTCAGCCATTTGGTAGTTCTCTCAATTTCCAGTTGCTTTTGCTAAAATAAAATTCAAATATAACATCGTTTGTTTGACACTCTTTACTTACAAATCACAACATAACAAAAGCAAAAAAAAAAAAAAAAAAAAAAAAAAAAGCTTTTTGATCTTTTTGACTTGAAATTGCACTATTCCAGAGATCAAAGATCAAATACCCTTCCTAACTTGCTTCTAAGTGGAATAATGTGATACATCAACAGCAGCCGAAAGCAGAAGTTAGGGATCATACGTGATACTTGATATGAATGAGAAGACACAGTAAAGGGCTTGCTTGTCTTTTCTAATGCTTTAAAAATCACAAAAAATCCTATGTATACTAATACAAAGTTTTTTTGTTTTTTTAAGGAAAATTTGAAGTATTTTGCAAAGCAACAAAAAACAACTACAAATTTCAATTTTCTTTTATCTCATTTTCCTCAATTCTAGAACATTCATGGTTTTGATGGCTAAGTCCATTTTTTTAAAGAATTCAATTTAGTTACCATGTGATTAACATATAACTAGCAACATGCTAGAGAAATAATAAACAACAATGAGTCATAGTTGTCACCCGAGACTCCTCATGTGCTGACAAAGGAGACACAACCCTGTGGCAGGGGGGTCTGACATAAGGCTAGTGGCAATATCACACAGAAAAACCCATCCTACATGAGGAGCTGAAAGATTATTGTGGGATTTATGTGATGTGATGTGGGATACCATTCAGTGCCCTATGGAGCTGACTGACGTTCCAGAGTTTTAGGAAGGAAACAGGTGCCATGGTGAATGAACTAAAAGTCTCGTGCGTCAAGCCTGAGCCCTGCAGCAGGGCTGAGCACTGAAGCAAGTTAACACAGAAACGGCTTTGCTCCTCTCTTTGGGGTTTCTAGAGGCCAAGTGTTTAGGCCTGAGAGCATAATAAATGTGCGATAACAAGCAGCGAAAAGAGAAAACTACCCAAGAAAGGGAACAGTTTTTCAGGTTCATCTCGTACTTCAAGGCAGTATGCTCCCTTTAGTCTCATGAGGCAGGTCTGTCACTGAGGAAGCACATACAAAGGGCTTAAGGGACAAGTCTAACAAGGGCAGGGACATTCAGAGCAGGCAGGTGCACTCTCCTTGTGCCCAGTAGTCACCTCTCTTCTGTTTTCAGCCATCCTGCCTTCCTTCCTGAATGAAAATTATGGCTCCTTACTGACTGGCTTCACTCCAGCCTCACACAGGCAGGCAGTATGCTGGCAGATGGCATACACCCACCACCAATAATTTTAGATGTAAAGGAAAAATCCCCAAGGAAAATCCTGAATTTAAGAAAAGATCCTCACCTATGAGAATGTTTTTTATTGAATTTACCTTCAGGTATATTCGTAAAGCTCTGTAATTACTTTCTAACTCTTAAAAGTTCTTATTTTTTATAATAAAAGATGATCACTTGTGAGCAAAAGAATGTTAATTCCCATTTTTCAAAAGGCTAAACACAGTCTTTATTATATTATTAGTGATAAAATGATGCAGATGGTTCCAGAAATATGTTTAATTTTAAAACTCAGTGGGGCACTGAAATCTAATTAATGTTTCGCTAAATGTGACTTCAGAGAAGGCCAAACTGAAGGAGAGAGTGATCTAAGCTGCCATTTGCTGTGCGGTTTTTCCACATTCCCTCCTTTGACTTCTTAAAGCACAGTCACCTTCTCCATCAATATGAAAACAACCAAATCATCCAAGTCAGCATAAGAACAGGACACACACAGCCCACACATAGTTATCTCTTGATAATTTTCACTTTCATTTCTATGAATTACCAATAAATTACTTCAGGGAATAGTCATTCTTTTTTTTAAAGACACACTTTCATATATTAATGTTTGTCATATATTAGAGTAGTTTAAATGCTCTGTATCCTGCAAGAATGAAACATATATACACATAACATTTTAAGAATCATTACATTAAATAAGTTTTTCTTTCTTCTACAGTTGATCTTCGCCAAAAGGCCGAGAAGCGATTGTTTTTCTTTCTTCTATACATATAAAAAACTAAAACTTGGATAATTTCCTAGTGTAAGAGTTTAGACTTCCATATCAGTTAAGTACTGACTCTGCAATACTATCATTTCACTACCCCAGACTTGAACGCATAAAGTGTCCCTCTCCAGTTCAGTCAGTAATTCACGGTTAAAACCTACTTTCTTTCCAAGTATATGGAAGCTCCCTGTTTTAACAATTATTTTGAAGAAGTAACCAAAACCACATATGACAACTGTGAACTTAAGAGCCCTAGAAAGCAGGTTAGAGTACCAATGAGTCACAGATTCATCTATACAAAAATAAAAGCAGACTACCAACAGTGTGTCAGGATTTCTACCTGAGATTTTAACAGACACTTTCAACTCAAATCTGTTGGCTATTCCCAACACTGCCATGCCTCTCTGACCAAGATCTGCCGTTTGTCCGCGAGTGGTGCTTTTCCTCACTACCTGTGATGGCTCATGCTTACTGTCAATTTGCAGGAAGGGTGACAACACTCTGAGTACACCTGGGAGGGAGTTTCTAAACTGAGTTAGCTGAGGCTGATTGGTGTCTGAACCTGAATAAAATGAGGAGAAAGTGATCTGAGCCCCAGGACTCATCTGTTTTCCTGTGACTGCCTTGTGGCCAGATGTTCACACTTCTGTCACCATGACTTCCCTGCCATGATGGACTGCACCTCAAACTGATAAAAACAAGTCTTTCCTTATTTGCTTCTGTCAGGTATGTTAAAAAGCAATGGGAAAAGTAACTATACATCACTCAACTGGCAGTTCAAATGTCCAAGGTCTGAAGCTTCTCCGAAATGCCTCCATTCAAGCTAATTCAACTATTCCCTCAGATTTCGTGACATGGACCAAGGCCCAGCTTAGTCAGAGTTCTGCCTCTTCCTATCTGTTTCCCTTGGGTCAAACACTTGATTCTTCTTTCCCTTGGTTCTCTGTTCTACAGAATGGGAACTACTACAATTATTTTGCAGTCAACACATGTACTCCAGCTGCCTAAGTACTCAAATCACATTATTATTATTAAAGTATTAACTGCTTGACCATGGAGACCAAAGCATATGTCTATCCTTTAATTTTGTTACCTAAAACAGCAGTTGTATAAGAGTTTAAAATAATATCCTAACAGTTTACAACAGACAGGGCATAGGCAGCAATGTGAAATAGTTAATAACGTCCTGTGACTCTCAAGTGGAGTGGAAAGAGTATGAATATGAACTGTTCCCTCAGGTAGAAGCCTCACCATGTGATACAGAAAGAACCACAAGAAATTACAATAACCCCATGTAGTACTATGGTTGAAAGTGTGTCATTCTATGTGTTGGCAGATAGTTTCCAAAGTGCGATAAGAAGTAGAGTTGCCTTTTCTTAATTTTCGTTTTGAAGTATTTCAAACCTACATGAAATAAAAGAAAAGCCACACCATATGTTTCTGTATGCTTCATGGAAATCTAACAAGTATTAATCTTTTGCCAGATTTCACTTATGTATTTTGGGGAAGGGGTTGTGACAAACCCACTAGAAAAAAAATCACAGACATGAGCATATCATATCTACATATTTCATATGAAGTATTTCCAAGGATGCAGCCATTTAAGCACACACCACCACCACCCCACCCTACCCCACCCCACCTCGCCCCTGAGACAGTTTTTCTCTGTGTAACAGCCCAAGCTGTCCTGAAACTGGCTCTATATACCAAGCTGGTCTCAAATTCTCAGAGATCAGCCTGCGTCTGCCTCTGCCTCTGCCTCTGCCTCCCAAGTACTGGGATTAAAGGTGTGTGCCACCACTGCCTGGCTAAACAGAAACATTTATCCTAACCACTGCATCATTCTTATATCCAAAAAATTTCAAATTCAATCATGATCATCTCAGTCTATACACTAAATTTTCTATTGGTCTCCCAAATGGTAGTTAGTTTGGTGTGTGTGTGTGTGTGTGAGAGAGAGAGAGAGAGAGAGAGAGAGAGAGAGAGAGAGAGAGAGAGAGCTGGGATTGAACCCAGGCTTCACACACTGACTATAGCTCTGTCATACACCTTCATTACTATCCCTCAGCTATGGGGCATTGGCTTCCAGGTTGGTGATTACCTGGCATTCTCAGTAGGATCTCATACTCACAGAGGGCATGGAAGCTTTGTACCTCTATTCCTCACCCCCATTCATGTTCCATCCGGCCATTCCTGAGAGGATTTTCTTTAGTAAATGGGTCTAAGTAAGCACAGAACTTAATGTTCCATGAGCTGCTCTAGCAAACCCAAGCAGCAGGTCATGTGAATCTCTGAATTGTGCACCATAGGTTAAAATCCTCTGGGCTCACGATCTGCATTAACAAGGGAGCAGTCTGATGAGAACTGAGCTGCAGGTCTGTAACAACTCTCCACTGGAAGAACTGCTTACATACAGGGAGAAACTCAAAAACACATAAGGTGTTCCATATAATGTAAATGATGAGATGAGTACAAAGTTTGGTTTCTGCCACATGTCACACAATAGGGACATGTGAGTAAAGTTGCTGAGAGTCACCCATGCTTAGATCTCACCAGCAGAGGTCAGAAGAGGATAGGAAGTACAGGACACCTTGCCATTGGAAAGTACAGTCCCTTATCATTAAGACTTAATGCTATGTAAAATGAAGGTGTACATTTTACAAGAAATAATGAGGGAGCTGTTAAGATGGTTCAGGGTAAAACACTTGCCTACCACTAAGCCTGAGAACTCAAGCTCAATCTTCAGGACTCACATGATAGATGCTGAGAATCAAAAGTTGTCCTCTGACCTATACATGCCCACAGTGGTACATGTGCATATATGCATGTATGTGCACATGTATAATAAATAAAATAAAAAATTTAAAAATAAAAGGCTCTCATATTTTATATCTTATACAGAATACTGTACTACATTTTGGGGGCTTTATCTATGAAAATTCATAGTTTTATAAAAACCTTTCCTCCTTATTAAAAACATCAATAAACTCAAGGAAATAATACAATCTATTATTAATATTGTTCTCTACAGGGTAAGTATAATAAGTGCGTTCATTTATTTGTATAAGTGCCTGTTTGGGGAACCCAAATCATTTTGCAAACACCACATTAATCCTCTTATGAGGGAGGACTACTGTCCCTCTCTTAAATGGAGAAAGGCCTTCTACAATAGTCCTAAGCACCAAGAAGCACAGCTTCAGCTGCAAGCTTTACAGAGTATAGACTTCAGCAAGCCAATCATTGAAATGAAAAATACAGATTAATTTTTATTACCTGTCTACAATGGTAGAGCTTGGCCACTACATACAGGCATACGCTACACAATGCTAGTATCTAACCTTACTTTGCATGTGTTCAAGCTTTAGTTCATAAAATTATGTATAATTATTAATATATTACTAATATATTATAATTGGTTACTGCATTACAATATTATGTTATTACATATAAAGCAGGCCATGGCCCTGGTGAAATGACTTAACAGAAGAGTCAGAGCCACCTGCTGTCAAGCCTGACAACCTGAGCTGAATTTCCAGTATCCACCAGGTTGAAGGAGAGTACTAACTCCCACATGTATGCTGTGACTACACACACAAATGTGTGTGCGCACATATGCAAGCATACATGGGTGTATTCATGAAAAATAAACATAGAAAACTTCAAAGCAGGTCATAAGATAAACAAGTGCAACCTGATTTCTTCTAAGGAAGAAATCACCTCACCTACCCCAGAACCCTCTTACCCCAGTACAGGACGGACAAGTAAATATACAAATATGTTCTCATTTGAATGAGTTTTGAAAAAAATAGTAGGGAGGATTTCATAGTGTACCCCTAACTCTCTATGAAAACCAGGCTGGTCTCAAACTATAGAGCTCTACCTGTCTTTGCCTCCTGAGTGCTGAGATTAAAGGCATATGCCACCATGCTTGAAATTTTAAATTAATCATTAAGGCATACACGGATTACTTTTTAGTGGTTCCTATTAAGACTTTAAATGGGAAGTTAATTAGTTATATACATACTTGTATTGGGTAAGAGTCTTACTATACAGCTCAGTCATGTAAAAAAATTAAACAAACTTAATTTTAAGCTAATTTGCCTTAAATCTCTTCTTACTGGCACATTTCTTGACTTACCTAATTACTGACGTGAACTCCAAGATTTCTTGACCAAAAAATTACAAATAGTGGTGGAGGGGTTGGAAAGAGAAGTCTATACTGCTGAATTAACATATTTTTATTTTGCCAAATCAACCTAGCCTTTGTTTAAAAACAAACAAAAATTTCAATTCTTTTCTCCCTAATCTTTCAAGTTCAGGACACTGCAACATCTGCAGACTCTCTGGCAGCTTTTAAGTAAATATATTTAATGTTATAAAAATGGTATGTGACTCATATAGATTACAACCCAGTAGAAGAAACAGACAAAGTAAGAAATTTTCAAAATATCTAACACATAAATTCTGTCATATACAACACAGAAAAACAAAACAAAACAAAACAAACAAACAAACAAAGACCATAATTAACACTGGGGAGAGAAGTTCCCAACTTTAGCTTAGATGACCATGAACAGTCATACTCTCTAAGTGACACTAGAGTAAATTCTTAAAGGAACTAAAAGGGCAGAGCCTTGTAGCTGCTATGACATAGGACAGTGAAACACTCCACAAGAGGAAGAAGCCAGTGGGAAAGCCTTGAAGAGGAACTCTGGCCCACCCACACTCAGGACACTAGGGAGCCAGCAGCTGAATAAAAGAAGGTAGCAAAGGGCAACACCTTGAGGGTCATTCTTAGAACTGTGCTTCATTATGGATAGATAGGGAAGACACTTCATTATGGATAGACAGGGAAGACACGCTGAGGCTCTAAAAGTAGCATGATTTTAACTCATTTTAACAGGACCATTCTAATTGTGAAGAGAAGACTGTGAGAGAAAGGGACAAGGACTGAAGTAGGAAGACCAGAAGCTCCAAAAGAAAAGTTATAGTACACCAGGGTAGCAGAAGTAGAAATGAAGTCAACAAATTCTTAATAGACCTGGGTGGCAGAGTACCCAGCATTGGATGGGAGAGGAGATGGGGATCTGAGAGAAGTCAAGGACAACTCAGAAAACAGTGGTCTAGAGTTTGGAAGAAGGACACCTGCTCACTGTGATGGGCACATTTGTCTACAAGGCAGATCTGAGGACCAATATTGCTAGGATAAGAAAAGATAAAAACTCAAACCCTAAGTATGGGTTTCATGAGACTGAGAGAGGGAGGGAGTTAGGAGGGAGGGAGGGGGTTAGGAGACAGGGAGGGAGGGGGTTAGGAGGGAAGGGGGAAGTGAAAGGGAAGGAAGGAGGAAAGGTGCAAGGAAGGGAGGGAGGAAGGTGCAGAGGGAAGAAGAGGGGAAGAGAGAGAGGGAGAAAGAGAGGGAGGGAGGAAGAAAGGGAGAGGAGGGAAAAAGAGGAAGAGAGGAAGGGAGGGAGGAAGAGAGGAAGGCTGGCAGCTCTTGAGTGAAGCTATTGTTAAGTTAGAGACAATCTGTAAAGGCTACAATAAAATCTGAGCTGAGGGAGGGTGGAAGTGAGCATGGGAGGCCCTGTGGTGGTATCAGGAGGTGAGATGATTGGTAAAGCAGGACACTACACACAAAGGGATGGTCAGGAGGCAGGGGCAAATCCTTAGGTTACCACTTCCAACAGCTTGATACAAAGTTCCCCTAGGGCACACTTCACAAGATGCTCACCATAACTGCCTCATCCTCTCATGTACTCTTTCTTGATCTACAGATTGCTTTCCTGACCATCAGCCTACATGTCATTTCCACTGTGCTACAGACCTGAGTCCAACCGATCACCTCCCATCTCTTATCTCCAATGACTGCTCTAGTCACTGGACAGAGGGCTTCTCACAGGCGGGAGGGGTGGGGTATGATGGGATGGGGGAATGCTCTCCTCAGTCCTGGGACTCTAAGCAGTAGCTAGTCCACAGCAAGACAAACATTACTCAGCGATGCAGCTGTTGAAAGTCCCCGTCAAAGCATCTAGGCTATGATGCTGCCAGAGAATCTGGTAATCTTTCACCTGCAGGAGGTGTTCACAAGTATTCTTCATATATGCAAAATAACAATTCTGTTTACATTTAAGGTTTTTCTAAATTTTGTTTTTATCAGAAAAATTTGATCTTAGAATATTTTCCTAAAATAGTTTTCAAATTATAATTGTAATTTCACCTGCACTGACTGAAGCTCAGCCCCCTTCCCCAGTAGAATACACACAAACAAATACCTTCATTTTCATTCTAGAATTCATTTTGGAAGAGAAATAGAGGAGTAAGGGGATTCTGAACAGTTAAAACTTCCACTCTCTACTACTTCTGATGTATATATCCAGGTGTAGAACCAGCTCCTTGCTAAGAAGAGTAAAGAAATGTTTAAAGAAAAGCAGAAAGGCTTACTATGTCACCTGTCTAATCCTTAAAATGTTTAAAGTTAACTGACAACAAGAAATGTTCTAGTCATTACTTGTGGGGAGTTGGATAAAAACTCATGGACAGTTATTTTCTGTGAACCTACTGGTCTGGAATTGTGCTTTACTATCCAGAGGGTGCATAAAGATCACCTTACTCCTAACGACTTACTGTTACATCCACAGATTAGTGTTAACTGCCAAATCTCATCAGAGAAGCTTCTTTTAACAGAGGATAGTGATTAACACAGACTCACAACTGTTCAGGCTTAGGGAATAAGGGATTGTGAAATGCTCAGTACACTAGGGGACATCCACACCACATCCTCTCCTCTGAGGTTCAGAGCCAGAGCCAGGAGATATTGCAAGGAAACCATTTTCTGGACACAGCAGAGCAGTTGTAGTACATATGAGCTCACAGCAGTTGTGACAGCATGCATAAGATCTGCACAGACTCAAGCCTGACAAATTTTCAGAATGGAGAAGAGAGGTAGGCAAGTAGCCACACTCCTAGTTAAGAAGCTATTGGGAAAGGGAGAGTCAATTTTCTTTATGGGCTGACCTCTCTCCAGTGTAGGCCACACATTCAAGAGTATCAGGGCAGCACAAATTGTACTTGATGGGTTTGAAAACAAAAGGACACAAAGTTAAGTGGGTAAGGAAGGAAGAGACCAAAGTATACTGTGTGTACTTTTCAAAGAACTAACAAAAATGAGAGAAAAACCAACCCCCAACCCCATCACACACTGGATGGATGGATGGATGGATGGATGGATGGATGGATGGATGGGTGGGTGGGTGGGTGGGTGGGTGGGTGGGTGGGAATTCCTAACATAGAGAAGTGTTTCATACAGGTAGAGTCTCATGCTGGAGCTGAGCATTTCAGAGTGCTGAACTTTTCATTACTTTTAAAGAAAGACCAGAATCTCATAAATCCTCCTAACTTATATTTCACCCTTATTTTAATTCTCTTAAGAACAACACAATTTTGGTCAAGTTCTAACAATGCCAACTGCATACGATACAGCACTCAAAAATCCCAAAAGCAGACTCTTCCTGTGGAGACAATTCATCAATGACTACAAATAAACAAAGAACCACACTTACCCGGTCAACAGCTGCATTGTGATTCGGGAGCTCTTCCTCACTGTAGAGAATAACAACATGCATGAAAAGGTTGAGATCAGGGCAGACTTTTACTAAGTATATCCTACAGGCATGTATTAAATGTAATATGTCACTATAAGAGATGTGTGTTTTATGTTTCCATTCCACCAAATTCAACAGAAAATGACTGGTCTATAATAACAACATCCCTCATCTTCAAACACAGTAGTGACTAGCCTACAGGGAGCAATTTGAAGTAAGTCTCACTAACCACAATCTGACTACATAAAAGTCATGTAGCTACCTAGAGGCTGCCACATTGAACATTTCTATCATGGCAGAAAATTCTGTCGGTGAGCACTACCCTAGACCAGAGTTCAGCAACTCCTGTCACAGTAAATAGTAAGTCTTTTAGGCTTTGGGAAACACATACTCTTTCTCACAACTACTTGGACTCTAGTGTGGTAGTGTGTATGTATACAGTACTCACAAATGATGGGAAACTAAGCTCCACAGAACTTCTACAGAACCAAATGGTAAACTAGTTTTGGCCTTGACACATAGGTCAGTCTGCCATCCTGTGCCCTAGACTATCACTTTTACTCTTGGATCCAACTACTGCCTAAAATAAGCCACTGTTTAAAATTCTACATGAAGAAAAAAATGGCGCCAGGCCTGGAGGAAAAGGGCTGAAACACTAGCTAATCAAGAGGCTGAGTAGAAGAAAATTAACAAATTCAACAACTTCCTGGGTTTTAGTTAGTGCAAAGCCTGACAGGGCAACTTAGTGAGACCCCACCTCAAAATAAAATAGTAAAATGAGGGTTGTGGGACCAAGAGAGATGGCTCAGTTTGTAAAGTACTTGCTATGCAAGCATGAGGACCTGAGTTCAATCCTTGTGCACGAGAGCGAGCAAGCCTCGAACTCACAGAGATTTGTCTGCCTCTGCCTCCCAAGTGCTGGGATTAAAGGCGTACACCACCACTGCCCTGCTTCAACAGAACTTTTTTTAAAAAAAAAAAAAAAAAAAAAAAAAAAAAAGAACAAAACCATTTCTCTGGTTCATGTATGCTATCACCTCTAACGTTAAATTATCCAGAGAGTATTATATTAACTGTCAGTAATAAATAGTTTTCATATAAACAAAGCTGATTTTTGGCAGCTATCTCAATAGTATGAATGTTTTGGCAATAATACATGCATATTCTTGCTTCTATTTCCTCTTGAGATCAAGTGGCATGACTTTTAAAAACATGACAGATTATTATTCAAGAACTAGCATTTTCTATGTCATTTTTTGCTTCTCTGAAGAGTCTTTAGATGAACCATTTAGCCATAGCAATGGAACAAACAAAAATGGTATAAAAGCCAAAGAGAATTTAGAAAGAGAACCCAAATCCCTCTTTTCATAGATAAGAAAATAACCATTTTCACTTAATCATTTAGCCCTAACACAGAAATATTCAATATAACATAGTCCAGGGCATTTAAATGACCTTCAGCTATTGCCAGAGTGTACAAAGAAGGGCACAGACTGAGGAAACGTGGGAGACAGAGGCAGACCAACCTGGTCTACAGGGCTGCAAACAGAAACCTTGTCTTGAGAGGGAGGGAGGGAGGGAGGGAGGGAGGGAGGGAGGGAAGAAAAAGGTATAGATTATTGGCATAAGCAAACATGCCTTGTAGTACACATCTATTTGGCACATTCTGAATACCTTGACTATCCCAGTGAATGTTCTGGACACACACTGGGCTATTAGTGAAGTGCACGCTCTGTCTCCCAAGTGCTGGAGTTAAATTCTTGCATTACCACACTGGCTCCAATAATCTGTATTATGCTACTTAAATCTCCTTCAAGTAGAAAAGAGGAAAGACCACAGTCTGGAATATACAGATGAGTATTCCTTCAGGTCAGCAAACCATGGTCCACAGGCCAAATTTTGTTTGCTGTCTATTTTGTAAATAAAGGGCCTTTTTTTGTTGTTGTTGTTGTTTGTTTTTGTTTTGTTTTTAATGGAGCACTGTCATTCTTACTAATTTAGACACTGTGGTTGTTTTTATACTGAGTCATGGTGACAAGAACACATAGTCTACATATCCAAAAACACTTAGTACCTGGCTCTTGGTAACACATGACATGACTACTACCTATCCCTGGCTTTAGAACACAGTTTCTCAACCTTCCTAATGCTGCAACCCTTTAACAGTTTACTTGTTGTGGTGACCCCAATCATAAAATTACTTCATTGCTACTTCATAACTAATTTTGCTACTGTTATGAATTATAATGTAAATATCAGGGTATATGATATTTGCCCCCTGTAGTGGTCACAACCTACTAGTTAAGAACTGCTGCTTTAGAGACTAGAACCTGCAAACACCTCAAGACTGACTGCTCAGAGACAACACTCAGGCCTTCCATATAAACAGTAAGTAAATACAGCAGTCATCAGAAGACAAAAACTTGAGCTGGCATGTTTTTCATCTGGATGAGGTTTTAAATGTATTACTAAGAATGTGTCTGTCACTTCTCAACAACTCACAGGAATATTTCTGTAAATATAAAATAAACATTTCATTTGGAAACCTAGTTTGTTAAAAATCAGTTGAGTATATTGACTATGGTTGGTTTTGAATCAAATTTTATTTAAGCTTAGATTTAAGCTAGTTAAAATATACTTAAGACTGATGAAAGAGTTCTCAAACCTTTCTAATCAAAATGGATAATCTTGATAACAAGAGCACCTTTACTACAGAGCAGTACATTCCTACAGATCTATAAAAGCAAAGAAAATTATGGACAAGTCCATTACATTTTATAAATACACAAATTTGAGTAAGTAGTTGAGCATCTGATGCTCAGTGTTAATTTGATCTCCTCTATTTTTGGTACAGCTTCCTTTCTCCTATTAAAAACTTGTGACCTAAAAACATTATTTATCATTATCCAAATACCAAGCATTCTTTGTCCAGCCCAGCTGTGGTAGCTAGTTCTACAACCACTTAAGCAAGCTCAACTTGTTCACTCTGCAGCTGTAACTCTATCACAGGCTGGTTTGGCAATAGCATTTGTTAATACTGTGAACATTATTATCAAAACAAGTCAATTTATACTGTGCTAATTATTGTCACACCTTTATATATCATACAAAGAAAAAAATTAAGTTTCTAAAGCTGTATCTAGATATGAGCTCAGCAACATCCAGAGAATGCTGGGAGATGATTGTTCTTTCTATTGTACTGACAATGAATTTAAAATCTAATTTCAATTACAGCAGCAATCAAGATTTACACATAGCTAAGACAGGTGAGGTACTCTTTTAATCAGGTGTGAGAGAAAGTAGTATCTGGTTGCTTACAGCAAAAACATTATCCAACAGTGAGATAGATAAAGTCCCAACCACTGTGGCAAGTAATAAAAGTCACCCGCAGCAAACGCTGGGGAAAGAGCTTTGCTGAAGTAGACACTGTCACAAAACTCAACTGATAAAACCTAACATCACTCTGGAGTCCACTCCTCTGCCTCATCATTTTTCATTGGGGCTTCTGTTTGGGGACTACAGCATAAAGCAGGTTTTTTTGTTTGTTTGTTTGTTTGTTTTGTTTGTGTGTGTGTGTGTGTGTGTGTTTATTTTTTAATGAACAACATCAAGAGTACCAACACCAATCAGTCTCATTTTAAAATATGGTGACCTTTGCTATCTTAGAATATGTCGATAGAAGTTGCCATTTTGTTCTCCTCTATAGGCATCTCAAAGCACTTAGACTGTTATTTCTCTCACAAAATCAAAAGAAGGCAGTACTCTACAGCAATTCAGAACATGGCTCTGGAGTGAAACCTATCCTAGACCCCCATCCTAGGAGCTGACACTGTCAATAAACCTGAGGCAATTTATTTGAGCTCTTTGAACTATACATTTACCATCTAAAAACTAAAAAAAGAGAACCCATCACAATGATGTTTTGAAAGAGTAACTGCTCAGAAACCTGCCTGACACACAAAAAATGCTCAATGAGTAGTAACTAATACTATATGATAAGTTATCAACTGACTTTTTCCCTACTACAACTGACTGGACCTCAGCCCAAAGTTAGAAAAATAAAATAAAAACAAGCAAACAGGGAAAAAACAAACAAACAAAAAAATGACTACAAGTTACAAGTTTAACTTAGGCTTTTGGGCAAGAACTTTTTTTTTTTTGGGGGGGGGGGAGTAACAAATTTGTTTCAACTGACAAGAAAGAAAATTTAGGTAATTAACAAACCCTCTTGGAATGTACAGATTATTCAGATGCACTTCACACTATCTGGACTATACTATAATTCTAAAAAACACATTACCATGTGGATGGAATGGTCAAAATGAACTGAGTTTCATCCCATCTTCTGAATCAAAATCTAGTACAGAACCCAGAGATCTTTTTTCATCTGATTCTAATGTGACCCACTGAGCTTAAGAGTCTTCATAATCAAATTGTACTTCAAAATTTGATTCACATCCAAGTTCTGCACTTGACTAACACAAATGTGCAATGGTTTCCCATCACAGATGTGGCCATGTTAGATAGTGATGAAGGGGGGAGGAGGAGGAAAAGGAGAAAGGGAAGTGGAAGAAAAGATGGGGGAGAAATCAGAATAATGTGGCCGGAGGTTGAGAAGAGGAATCCCATTGTAAGCACTGCTCTGTTGTCTGCTCAAGTTCAAAGTCTTCAGATTACAACTCTCCAGGAGAAAATTCCACATAGGTACCATCTCTAAGCACAATAAGAACTTTATGAAATACTTCTACACTTGATTTCTTCAAAGCCTCAACATACAATATATAAGGTAATTTTGATTCTTTTCTCTAGATGAAGTGTGAAATCATTCACTGATGAGAAGCCAGCTGACAGGCAAAAAGAATACACACTGCTAAAAGACACCAATTTACATAACACTAGGACCTAAACAAGCAAACTGACATCAGTTTGCAGGTTATTTTTACCAGTCAAAAAGCCTTTAACTGAATTACTTTATAGTAGTCTAGTCCTCTCTCAATTCTTTATAGACCATAGTCAAGATAAATAGAGTTAATTTTGAGAAGCAATATCATGATTACATTTGCAACTATAATAAGGAAGATCAATGGCATTCTTTTCCATTGTTCATTTTTAGGCAATACTCATTTTCTAATGGCTAGTTATTTTAAAAATTCATCTACATACAATTAAATGTTTTATAATTATTTTAAAAATATAAACTGTTATCCATGTGTATTAACTTTGCTAAATTATTGATACAACTAATTTTACACATTTACTATGCTCTTTACAAAACACAAAAGGTATAAAGGTTATATTCTTAACTATAGCTCAATTTTAACCACAGTAGCTAAAAATGCTAGGAACCAAGAAGTATACTAGAGTCTTAGAAAATTCTAAATTTAATAACAGATAACCATAATAAGATTATAACTGAAAAACAACAGCTTTCAACCTGTGTAACTTACTGTAAAAAGCCAAATCTGTCAGTGACTTTGTAAACAAGATAATCAGCATCTTCCCAAGGCTCAATTTCTGCACCTTCTCGTCCCTAAAACAAAAGATGACAAGAGGAGTTATTTGGAATTTATAATACCAAGTATTTTACTGAGACAGATCAAACAGGAGTATTTTCTAACTAAACTATTTTTAGCAAAGTAATCACTAATCCTTAGTTATTAGCTATGGAAGATACTGTGTCAGTAAGAGCTAACACAGCTACTTCATCAAAATATGAACTGAGAGAAGTCATTGAGGACAAGAAAGCTACTGCAGGAGAAACTGACAAACCTTAAGCTTTAAAGTGAACTATCTAGAACAGGCCTTTCATGCAACCCTCTCACAGAAGGCAATGTACATTTTGTTTTTTCACTCCTTTGTTTCCCAACTGCACCAGCCCTGAACCCACTTATTGCTAAAGCAAAAATTGACTTCCAAATGGGTGTGGTAGGACATGCATTTAATCCAGCACACAGTAGGTACAGGCAAGTGGATCTCTTCCCTCTTCCCTCCCTCCCTCCCTCTCTCTCTCTCTAAAAAGACTTTGTCAAACCCGAGCCCACTCTTCTTCAGTCTGTAATACTGAACAATCAAGAACTACTTGGCAACAGCTCTTGTGCTCTCTGTCCTGTCCCCTGCTGGTGCCTTGCAGTTCTCTTCATGCACTCCAGCTCTTTGATAAATGCTTTCATAGGTAAGTAACTCTTAGCTGCTGGTGTACCCACAATTCTTTCCTCAGCTCAACATTCTACTCTTGTTATCACTTATAGTGATTATTTTAGGACCCCCAAATACAATGTATTCAAATTTTAGATTTGTAGACACTTCCACTTAAGTGTATTTTAAAATGTTTGTTCCTTCGAGTAGGTTATGAACATCCTATGGGCAAGGACTGTCAGAAATCATTTTTTAAAAGGTTTCCCAGGTCCTACCTTGGGCTAACTACATATGGGTGAGCAGCTAGGTAGTGGGGGAAGAGATAACTACAAGTATGAAAAACAGTGCTACTTGCTTATTTTACATTAGCTATGCAGTTAACTAGTTATCTAGGATTTTCATGAGTGACATAACTAACCACTACACTGACTGAATACTACCTGAGTGCTTCCCTGAAGGAAGGACACAGGCCAGGCAGCTGGTTACAATCTTATGTTCCTATTAACCTCACAAAATATATATTAAAAAGAAGATACACAACCACGTTCAAGTGATGCAGATGTAGAACATGGCACCTACAAATAAATGTTACAATCCATTAAAAGAGACAAATAAGGAGAAATTACTAATAACAAATTGTTGATAATCTTTTACATCAAAACCAAGAAAGAGCCCATGCTAAGGAGATACCAAGGGAAAAAGGGGAAAATGAGGAGGAAGGTTTAAGTAGGAAAGGGGATAGGAGGGTAAAATGGAGAGGAGGGGACAAATCTGCTGTTTTATAAACACCGCCCTATTGGCTAGCTTTCTTAGAATCAGGAAGTGCTATGTAGGCTACTGGGGGAGGTGATGTCAGCAGTCCAGCCCAGCTGTGAACCCTGAAAGCTACAATAATGAGCAGCCTGGCAATATGTGCCCGTGAGCACAATAGTGGCATGAGTGTTATGGGGAAGTCCTAGCTTACATCTGCAGGACACAATCCATCACTGAGGTTGGGTGAGGGCAGGAATCTAGAGGCAAGAATTGTGAAAGAAAGCTGGTTGCTAACTGGATTTCTGGTTTAACTATTTTTATATAGCCTAGGACCACCACCTGAGGAATGGTACCACCCACAATGGGATGGACCCTCCTACATCAACTAACAATAATCCCTCACAGACATGCCCACAGATCAACCTGATTATACCATTCCTCAATTATTTATGGCTTCTCTCAGGTAACTCCGGGCTGTGTCAAGTTGGCCATTAAAGATAATCAAGACAAGGGTAATCAGCTACTTTCTAATTGTATTTCAGGCCCACTTCACAGGAGGAAACACAGGAGCAAATCTGACCTTAGTCAGATTTCAACAGCTGGGGAGTTCATGTGCCCCAGGGATAAACCAAACACCATTCCTTTACTAAATGACACAGCATCAAAATGCCTTCTACATCCGTATCTCTCAATACCCACAGATAAGTGCCCCTTTCAGTTCTCATTAGAGAAGCTTCCTTTTGTTCAGCTATTAATGCAGAAACTCATTGTTGGTACAATGCAGCCAGAAAATGTTTGAGGGAATGTTCAACCATAAATGGGCTATCTGTATCACTCTTCTCCTCCAAGGTTTACCAACATTGTGAAGAAGGGGCCAAAAGGCTGTTAGAGCCAGAGGTCAAGGAGGAACAGGATAAAACAGTGTTTTCTGGGTATACCCAAGTCCAGTGTATTCAAGGGTCCACAGCAGTTGTGCCTGACTGTATAATATCCAGCCAATCAACATTCCAGCTTGGAGAGGGAGTAGATCATAAGCTGCCATCCTGAGCTGAGGAACTATTGTCAGGTGATAGATGCCAGAAGAGGAAGAACCAGTTTCCTTAGGGGTGTGGCCCCTGGTAGGTTGAGCATGTTCCACTGGATGGGTGCACACCCATGTGCATATGGGCAGCACAAATTGGATTGGGTGGGGAGGGAGGGAGGGTGGGAGGAGAGAAGGAAGAAAGTAAGGAAGTTGGGCATAGGAATAAGAGGTGTAAAGTGGGAGAAGTTAGGCAGAGGAATAGGAATGAATATGATAAACACACATTGTATACATGTATAAGATTCTCAAAGAATTAAAACACATCAGAAAATGAAAAAATTGATTTCATTCTGTCATACAGGCAAAATGTTAGTTTAAATTTACATGACACATAAATATAAGAATCTGAAATTTATAATAAATTAACTGAGTACATGTAAAAACTATTCTAAAAGAAAATTTAATTCTATATATCCACTCTCTCAAGTACTTGAGTAGCTGCCATTAGTAAAAAAAAATTGTTCCAGGTATTTATTTCACAGGAATAAATCAAACTAAATTCCTGACCCCACAGAGTCTAGAAGGAAGAGCAGATAACAAGCAAAATACACCAAACATCGATGTGACTGGTATTAGGGTGAAAATGAAGAGTGCCAGCAGGTAACATACATTCAGAATGACGGTCAGAGGGAAGACACGAGAGGAGTGGGCAATGGGGTCTTTAGAAGTCAGGGAGACAAGTACTGCAGGGAGGAGATAGCCAGTGTGTACGTAAGTACGCACAGCGGCAGGGGCAAGTCGGGAAAAACAGCTAAAGAGGAGGAAGGCAAAAAGGAGAGAGGATTCATAGAAAACAGAGAAAAAGGAGTTGAACTCAATGTCCTCACAAAGGGAATAAACTCCTTGTTATTCAGCTCTCCAAAAAGCAAGCCCTTTTCTATTTATATGGATTTTTTTAATAAAAACCTACTCTAAGAATAAATATAGATACTTACTCTGTCATATTTAGCAACGATTTCGGCTCGTTCCTGAGCAAGTTTGAGTGCTACATCCTGGTCCGAATCTGTGGAGAGATCAAATTTAGATGGGCTGTTATCTGAGAATAATAAAGTTAGTCATAAAACTAATAAAACATAAAAGCAATATGAAAAAGTAATAAAAATCAAAATGATAAGTTAGTTGAAGCTTTAGAATATCAACTGTTCTATCACTTTAATACTATATGTAAATTCAAAGACTGTACATTTATTAATACAGCAAACATGTCACAAGACCACAAATCTAAGCCCCTGCTGTGGTCTTAATTTCAATGAGATTCCCCCCCCCCCCCCGCCACCTCCGTGTTTCAGTATCTGGTCTTGAACTGGTGATACTGTTTTGGGAAACTAGACACAGAACCTTGACTGGCAGATGGTGTTGGGGGTGACAGGGGCAGGCCTTGAACAGAGCCAGCCTAGCCCCTCTCTCTGCTTGCTGGTTTAGCACCATTTAAGAGGGCACTGCAACATGTTCCTGCCACCCTGCCTTCCTAGCCATTCCCCTAGAACCCATAAACCAAAATAAACATGTCTCTCCTCATGCTGTTTGCGTTAGGTATAATATTCGTCCACAGTGACAAGGAAAGTAACTAATACAGCACTCGAGAGTTGATTCTCGAGTGCTGTATTAGTTACTTTCCTATTGGCCAACAGTGCTTTATTCATAAACCAATATGAGAAACATATTTACAGAATGGCATCTCTCATCAGAAATAGGAATAGAAACTGAAATGGAAAGTTGTTAAGTTTTCAGATAATAGGGGGAGAAAGAAGGGATTTAACCGGGAAGTAAGCATCAAGTCAAAGCAAGGCAGTGGGAGAGAGAAAGGACCAGTGACACTAAGGATGCTAAGAGCCATAGGAAACATTATCTTATGTTTGCATAATAAAATATGTATAAGTTGTCTACTGCTGTGATAAAACATTGTAAGCAAAGAAAGTATGTAAGCTAAGAAAGCAAAGGAGTATGATGACTAGGTATTTTGTTTTGTTTTGTCAACTTGACATAAACTACAGATACCCTAAAGAGGGACTCTGAATTGAGGAATAGTCTCCATCTGATCAGTTTGCTCTCTGTGGGCATTTTCTTAATTAATGATTGGTATGCGAGAGGCCAGCCCACCGTAGGCAATTTTACCCCAGGCAGGTGGTCCTGGGTTGTATAAGAAAGCAAGCTGAACTAGCCAGCCACAGAGAGCAAGCCAGTAAGCAACACTCCTCCATGGTCTCTGTTTCAGTTCCTGCCCTTACTTCCCTCAGTAACCAACCATGACATGGAAAGAAATACTTTCATCCACAAGCAGTTTTGATCTATGTTTCAAAACAGGGACAGATAGGTGGATAGATGACTCCAGGCACCATAATAAAAATAAAGAACAAATCAGAGATTATGTAAAAGGTATTACAAACAAGGAGAAAAGACAACAGTGTTTAAATAAAAAGCCTGGGCAAACATCAAGAACAAGAAATTCACGAGAGCAATGGTAACAAAACAGCTATGGCTGAGCTGAGTGCTGGCAGATAGCAAGACACCATGTGGAGCTCTTTAACAGGCCTTGCCACAAATTCTCACAGCACTATAAGACAAGCATCATTATTAACCCTGAAGCAATCATAACCAATCATACATGAGGCTTAGCAGTATCAAACAGATTGCCTAATGCCACAAAGCTAGTAAAAATTAATGCTCGAAATCAAAACCAGACAGTCCTAAGTGTAGAGTTCTCAACTTTAACCACTGTTTCATAAAAACAATTCAAAGCACACAAAATGACAGAACATGCATATCCATTTTCCCCTAAAATCCTATTGCTATGACAATTTAAGGACTTTTGAAACCTCTCCTTTAAAGCTCCATCATTATGGTTTGGATATGAATTGTCCTTCAGAGACATGTGTTGAAAGCTTGGTTCCTGGCTGAGTGTATGGATGAGGAGGACATTAACCTCCCCCAAAGATTAACCCACTGATGAGTTCACAGCTCAATGTGTAATCAGTGTCAATGGGCATGTTTTAAAGGACCTATCTTGTCCCAGGACCCTTCTTGTTCTTTCTCTCTCTGCTCCAACCACAAACTGAGATTCAGAACAGTAAGCCAAAATAAATTGAAGTTGTTTATCAGTGGCACTTTCTCAGTGATAGGAGAACTGACTACTGCAGCTTGGAAACAGGAATTCATGGGGAGACATGGGTGGGAGTGGAGTTAAAGATAGGGAATACCGAAGGGCCGTGTGTGGCCGAGGTGAGTGCAGGGCAGTGAACCAAGCCCTCACTAACCAGAGTAGGAAGACAGAGCCAACACTGGAATCTGAAGAAGTGGGAAGCAATATTATGGCATGTCACTTAGCACAGGGAAGTAAACAGAGAATGAAATCAAGCTAGGTGATTGTAGAGTGGCCATTCCAACTGCGAAGGAACTGTGCAAGTCAGTTGTTTCCAAAGCAAATAATATGCACTGCTGCATCATTACATTGATGCACAGCTCTAACAAAAACAAAATCTACTTATGGGGTTAGAGAGATGGCCCAGAGGTTAGAAAGTATGTTGCTTTTGCAAAGGACCTGGGTTTGGTTCCCAGCACACACATGCTTGCTCAAGACCATCTGTAACTCCAGTTCCAGGAGATTCAACCCCTTTTCTGACCACCCTGGGCAATGGGCATGCACATGGTGTACACACATACATGCAGGCAAAACACCCAGACACATAAAATAAATCTAAAGATACACAATCTAATTTACAACAAAAATAAAACATGGGGGAGGGGATTAGCCTCAATAATTACAGAAACAGAGTTTTAAAATATCACTTTGCACCCAGTTAGACTCAACAACAGCAAAAGTCGATAATACTGACAAAAGCCAGATGTCATTTGCAGTTCAGGACAATAAGACTAAACATATAAATGTACAAAAGCCTTCTGGATAGTATGTGTCAGAAATCTTACTAAGAGACACATCCTCTACCCAACACAGTACCTCTGGGGAATATATTGGTCAGTAAACAAGCACAAGTTATTATAATAGTAAAAATCAGCAAAATGGGAACTGTACATTTGGTTAAAGCTCTTTTCCTGGGGACGGGGGGGGGGGACATTTTTTTTCCACATTATCTCAGAATACAAAATGTTAATAAGCTCTCCTTCAGTGCAAGTGCAAATAGTAAGTAAACAGAATGATGCTATATAGTAACCAAATGCACACTAGTTGTTCAGATGTTACAACAAACTAATACAAAGATTAGTCTGAGATAAGCATACACATGTGGTCATCAGTTTCCCCTCCTACTCTCATGATCAGCTTTGACACAACAAACTCACACCTCTACCGAAGGGAAGAAAGTGAGTGCCCAGAAATTAAAGTCAAGCCCACCGAGCTCCAGGAATGCTATCAGAGCTGCTAAACATTTCCTTCCAAGTCAGCAGAGGAATGTTTTCCTAAGATCTCTTTTACAGTGGGCCTTAATTCCCACTACCAGCCCAGGACTGTCAGCAGATATCTGACACAAGAAGTAAAAGTTTTAAAGTGTATAAGAAAGAACAGAACAGGAAGAGATGTGGGTAGGAGCTGGTGTCAATAATCTAAAAAACATGGGCAAGCCACAGTTTATGAACCTATACTCTGCTCACTATCAGGCTAAGAACTCTACAAGGGAAAAGCCAATTATCTAATAGAGGTCACTCTGGAACTGAATGAACCTACATCCTGTTTTCTAGAAAGAATGATCATATACTTCATTTAAAATGACCAAAACAGTTATACTCAGTCAAGTGGTGGTAGTGCACGCCTTTACTCCCAGCACTCGGGAGGCAGAGGCAGGTAGCTTTCTGAGTGTTCAAAGCCAGCCTGGTCCACAGAGCTAGTTTCAGGGCAGCTAAGGCCATACAGAAAAACCTGTCTTGGCAAGGGGAAGGGACAATTTAGCAAATAAGTTTCCATAATTCCCTTATACATGCCCCATCCTTGTGTGTCTCTCTGGGAAGAAAATCTTATCACTATTAATTTATTCTAGAAATAAAGTAGATTAAAGGCCCAACTACCCTTATAAATTATAACCAAATATGCTTCTTTTAAGAGACTAAAAGGAAATACTAGTTCTTCTACTGTTGAATTTTCAGACATTACTAATTCACGCTTCATGGTAATCACCTGTAGTACAGGGATCACTCTGCTGAAATTGTGTTTCCTGTTCTTACTTAAAACTTGCATTGTGAGAATAAAGAGTTTGTCCCAAAGCTTTTATCACAAAAACACCAAAGCCACCCTGTGCCTGTATAAGTAAGAAGTTTGGATAACTACTGAACAATGACAACTGTGCCACTCAGTTTATACCACATGCCACCATCAAATAACAATTTAAACAAGGTGTTATCACATTATTTATCCTAAAACTTTATGTTCTATTTTCATGATAAATCCATAAAAATAAGTTTATTTGGGGAAAAAAATCTGTTACCAAAATAGTATGGCTATTACAATAAACATATATAAAGAAAAATTCCCTATCCTTAAAAATGAAACCATATGGAGAAATATGAGAAATGACTATTTTAAACAACAGCCCCTTTACAATGTTAGTTTACTACTCTAGTATATGGGGACATATCTCTTGGTACACATTTATCAAAGAAAATGACAACTATAGTATTTTCAGAAGCATTTTAAAAATTGACATTTCATGTCTCAAATCCCCCCCCCAAACTTTTAAGAAAAAGTATCCATTTGAACTACATTCTTTAAAAACACACATTACAACATGACTAAATTTCAAATTCAATCCCATAAAACAACACTGACAGCAGACTACCTTTCCCTTGTGAATACTTGAATAGGTGAGAAGTATAGAAAACATTATCAACATTAGAAGTACTTTACCCTTCCTTAGATAATCAGGCTGGCCTTGGAAGATGACAGCTGTTTCAGTCCTCATAGAAAACTGATCTACTCCAAGGTTTCATCATTATGTGAGAGTATTAGGTGGTACCTCATACATTCTGCAACTAACAGAAACAGAGTAGGTGGGGCTC